CATCTCGTCCATTTTTTAGGAGCAATGTGGTGACCTTGTTGAAGGTGAATATGAGGAATTGGTGGAGCTCTTCACAACTCCTATTTGTGGCATTGAGAATCCTACATCAGAAAAATACATTGCACCTAATCTACAAGCTTTATCATTAATAGCCAAGTAATGCGTATGGATATCCAGCTTCATAGATAAATCTAACATACGGAACCAGCTCTGAGGGAATACTAGGACTGAGGACTACTCATGTCATTTTCAGCAGTCCTTTGAAATGCACAGGGTTTAGCACTGTGGGACTGTCATTTCTCAGGCCAGATCTGAAGGAATTACCAGGCAAGGGGTCTCATCCCTACATTGACACATTTCAGTGGTAATAGAAATGGAATGGAATCGTGAATGCAAATAAATTAATAACTCCTGGAAAGTGATTTTTGCCAATTTTTTTCCTCCCTTGCTAGTGTCTGAATATATATATGAATCTTCTGACCCCCTGCCTTATTAGTCTTATTTGCATACGCATATTATGTGGTATTGTAGTGCAATATTGCATTTTTGCTAATTAGACTAGGGACATACTATCGAAAATTAATAACATAGGAATGGATGATATTATGTTCATGAAAGCAAGCCTGAGTCTTTAAAATTGTATTAACCCTTTTTATCACACAAGTTCAGGAGCAGAGCTGGTTCCCATGTTCAGATTAGGCTGGGGCTTCAGGCACAGGACCCAAGGTAAAAGCCAAATTTGGGGTTGGAGATATTCTTTTACCCACAGAATAATGTGATGGTCCTTTTCCCCTGACACCATGGTGAGGAAAGAACTGGACCAACAAATTATTTCAGTTTAGGTCTGATTTTAGGGTTAGAACCCCAATTATGCTCCGCTCTGCCTGTTTTTTTTTTTAATTTTTATTTAATTTTTAAATTTTATTTAAATTCTGAAGACCTCTTAAGGTTCATTTATACAAGCAGTCCCCGACTTACGCGGATCCGACTTATGTCGGATCCGTACTTATGAACGGGGCTTTCTCGCCTCGGAGGTCGAGGTGGCGGATTGCTACCTGCGAGCTCCGGGGCGAGAAAGCCCCATTTGTAAGCTGCTCCCGGTGCCCCTGGTC